GCTTGTCAGTTTTGATGTAATCTCTCTGTTCACCAAGGTCCCTGTACCTGACACCATAGCAATCATTGAAGACCTGGTCCAACAGGGACTGAATCTTGATGTACCAAGTTAAGTGAGGCACTGCCTTACCAACACTTACTTCACCTGGAATGGTACTTTCTACAAACAAAATAAAGGTACCCCCATGGGTCCCCCCCTATCACCAGTGGTAGCTAATGCGTTCATGGAGAAATTTGAAACAGATGCCAACCTGACATCCACCCTACGTCCTTCCTTGTGGAAGAGATACGTAGATGACACTTTCATTATTTGGCCACATGGTCAATCAGAACTGAACCAATCTCTCAACCAGATCAATTCCATACACCCATCCATTAAATTCACCATGGATGTGGAGAAGGATTGTAAGCTACCATTCCTAGATGTTTTGATTGAGAAGAGGCCTGATGGCTCGTTGGGACATTCTGTCTACAAGAAAGCTACCCACACTGATTCCTATCTGAAGCCTGATTCCCACCACCACCCAGCCCAGAAGAATTCCCTCATCAAAACACTATACCATAGGGCCTGCTGCATTTCTGACCAGCGCCACCTCGCCAGTGAACTGGAGCACTTACATCAAGCCCTAACGATGAATGGATACTCGTACCGCACAATTCGCAAAGCTGTATCCCCAACCATGGAGAGACAACCTTCTGTGGATCCAATCAAAACCATCACCTTATCGTACATAACAGGTGTCACCAAAAAGATTGCCAAAATTCTAAACAAACACAAGATCCAGGTCCGATTCAATACAGTTCCTCAAAATCTGTGATCTGATCCTATCTGTGAAGGATGTCATTCCTGACAGTCAATACCCTGCGGTCTATAAATTGAGCTGTACCTGCGGTAGCAGTTAAATTGGGGAAATGAAACGACATGTCTCGGACCGGGTTCGTGAACACAAGGCAGATATGAAACACGGCAGAACCAATACCTCTGCCGTAGCTGACCATTGTTATAATGCTGTGGGCTGGCACGATATTGTTTATTCCGAGACCAAGGTACTCTGCAAATCTTCGGGTTACCTTCAAAGATTTGTACACGAAGCTATCCAGATATACAAACATACCAACAACTTCAACCGAGAAGACGGGTTTAAGCTGAGCAACCATTGGAAGTACGTGATTAACCAGCGCAGCGACCAGCTCCACAACCTGGTCTGACCAGTCTTCCTCTCGCAGCGCAGCAGCCAGCTCCGAAGCAGCCAGCCTCGCAGCAGCGAGCTCTGCAGCAGCAGCGAGTTCCGCAGCAGCGAGCTCAGTAGCAGCCAGCTCCGCAACAGCGAAGCTCTGCAGCAGCGAGCTCCATAGCAGCGAGTTCCGCATCAGCGAGCTCTGTAGCAGGAGCATACTCCGCACCCTCACGCGTTAGCACGGCCATCTTTTAGATCGCTAACACGGCTGCTTTTGTCACACATGGACATGCAACCACCGGCATGACTGCATCGACATGTTAAAGTCTCATTGACTTTAACATGATATTCTCATTAACTTCGCTCATTTACTTTTACATGCTTTTCTCATTAACTTTAACATGCTATTCTTTGTTACACAGACTGAAATTGACTTGCTCATTTTTTCATTAACCTTTACATGGTTCTCTCATTAAAATACATATTCTCTCTCTATTCCCCAGCCGTTCTTATGCTAAGTTCGTTAACTTTAACATGCCACGCTATTTATTACACATAGACTGACATCGACTTGCTAATTTTTTCATTAACTTTTACATGCTTCTCTCATCAAAATGCATATGCTAATCCTCCATGCTAATCTGAGCTCTTATGTGCTATGGAAGCCCATTAACTTTGCACTATAATCCAACATGCCACGCTATTTGTTACCTTGACACTATAATGCCCCATTAACACTACTTCGGCTAGCTCTCTTCTCCAAAACTCATATAAACTCTTGCTGGTAACAGCTTCTCTTCACAAGGCAGCAGACATTGTGCTGTGCGCAGCAGATATCGCGGCTATCGCGATTTTCACCTGAAGACGAACGCTTGTGTTGCGTTCGAAACGTCGTGATTGATTTTGTTTTATTTCTATCTACGTGACTTTACCGAAAGAACCAAAGAGTATTAAACATCCTACATGCTAATACTGTATATTTCGGGATTAACTGATAAACTAGCCAGATTTTGGGAAAAACAAAACATCCGAGTCAGATTTGGCACTACATAAAATACAGAAGCTAATATCAAGTACGAAATATGTATTACTGAAGCTATCAACAGAAGGTTTGTACTGGATTCATTGCACTTGTGACAAATGTTATGTTGGGCAGACAGGACGAATGATAAGCACGAGACTAAAAGAACACCAAAGAAATATTAAATAATCCGAAATACAACTGTCGGCCGTGGTAGAACTCGCGTGCCAACAACTACACTCAATTGATTTTGATAGTGTTGAAGTTCAGTGCAAAACTAGTTACTACTGACCAAGATTAATTAGAGAATCTATCAAAATTGAGATAAAGATAAATAATGTAACCCTTCAGATAGCTTCAGGCTTCGTGCGAATCATCAAATAATATATTGTTGAAATGCATGCCTATAGATGTCACGATATATCAATGGGTATTACCTGTATGCATACAATAACGGGTACTGCTATTTCATTGCACGCAAAAGACAGGATGGTCAAGAACAATGTGCATGCATAAAGTGTATGCATATTGTACGTTTTTTTTCTTTGGTTCTTTCGGTAAAGTCACGTAGAATGAGAATAAAATAATAAATTGATAAAATAAAATAACACAATAATATTCTCACGACGTTTCGGCCACAACACAAGCGGCCTTCATCAGGTGAAGGGGGCGAGACTGTCTGGTAGGACAGCGCTGGAGTGAGACAGCCACGTTCAGATCACGGCTTTTAAGCTGTGTGAGAGGAACAAAGAGCCTTGACAAAGGAATTAGCATAAAATTTAGCATTGAAATGGCTGAATGATTAGCTTGTGACTGGTCACAGAAATAGCTATGTTAAAAGTTAAAGCATACACATCCGCAGAGGCACCCATTGTTAAAAGGAATTAGCATAGAATTTAGCATTGAAATAGCTAGTTAGGGCATACACATCCGCAGAGGCACCCCTTGACAATGGGATTAGCATAGAATTTAGCATTGAAATGGCTGAGTGATTCGCTTGTAACTGCTACAGAAATAGCTACGTTGAAGTCAGAGCATACACATTCACCGAGGCACTTAGTACAAATCAAACAGGAGAATTTAGCATTGAAATAACTAGGCGAATTTAGCATTGAAATAACTGAGTGATTTGCTAGTAACTGGTCACAGAAATGACTACACATCTGAGCTATTCACAGTACTATATAGTGAACCAATAAAAACTAAAATATAAATTACCTTCATGTTATCAATAAACTCTATATTCTCCAATCAGCTAAGCTACCAACCATAAGTCGTTATATATCACAATGCTATATGGCGAAAAAATGGGTGGATTCTTACCCTCAAATTTCCGTACCACGGATAGCTACGGGCCCCGTTCAGACGGACGAGTTCGTCCATGGTCGGAACAGAGGAGGGGGAGAGAGACAGCTGCGAGGCCCTAGTATACTCCATGTTGTAAACCATACCATTAACCGTGGTGTGAGAGGTATTAAGAGGCAATGCTGGCGAAAGAGCTGCGGTCTGAAGGTCATCGTAAAATTACAATTAATTAAGAACAGAAATGATTTAACACATCTTTCCAGTGGTTACTAAGCCTGAATCCATCTTCTCGGTTGAAATTGTCTCTGTGCTTGTATATGTGAATGGCCTCATGAACGAATCTCTCATGGTAGCCGGTTGGTTTGCAAAGAACCTCCGTCTTGGAGAAGTCAATGTCATGTGAGCCCACTGAATTGTAACAGTGATCTGCCACGGCAGAGGAGTTCGTCTTACCGTGTTTCAAGTCTGCTTTATGTTCGCGGATGTGGTCCGAGATATGTCTTTTGGTTTCTCCAATGCCTCTGCGGATGTGTATGCTTTAACTTTTAACATAGCTATTTCTGTGACCAGTCACAAGCTAATCATTCAGCCATTTCAATGCTAAATTTTATGCTAATTCCTTTGTCAAGGCTCTTTGTTCCTCTCACACAGCTTAAAAGCCGTGATCTGAACGTGGCTGTCTCACTCCAGCGCTGTCCTACCAGACAGTCTCGCCCCCTTCACCTGATGAAGGCCGCTTGTGTTGTGGCCGAAACGTCGTGAGAATATTATTGTGTTATTTTATTTTATCAATTTATTATTTTATTCTCATTCTACGTGACTTTACCGAAAGAACCAAAGAAGATGAATCATTGCAGTCACGAAAGCTTTAAATCGAAATATATTGTACGTTGATTACAATATGAATAACCCAACCGGCAAAGGATACCTAATGTAATGTATATGCATTCATTAATCCCCCCCCCCTTTCGCACGTGAATGGCTCACAAGTGACGTCATCACATCTATCCCTCTATTTAAGGAACCAACCAGGAGGATTTCTACACAAATCTGGCTGTCGCCTGATGAAGCTAGTTGTAATGAATGGCGAAACGTCGTACTCAGATTGTAAATGTTGTGGATTTGCTCTCCAGTGTGCTGTACTAGTAACGAATTGGCATGCTCTGTTTACGTGACAAATCTTACTTATTGGCTCTTTCGGGTGGTGGCGGGTTTAACGACACATTTATATTTATGCGATATAACCCAAAAAAAACTCTATTATGGTTCACTTGAATGCATTACAAAGTACGAATAGAAACATGTAGATTCTTACCGACAATTGTATGCATTCATCACGAGCTTAAGAATCAATATTAACCAAATGATTGATGTTTTGTTACACCACTACTACCGTCATAGACACCTCTAAAACTGTACACTTTGATACTTTAACTTCACAAACTTTATTAACTATATTCAAAGAGTGTGCTCTATGAAAAGTGAAAGCAGGAATACCTGCAAAATGCTTCCCATTCCTGAAGCAGCCACTGCCATGGCTATGCAAATCACACCATAGCTGACACCTGTCGTCGATACACATAACATCAGCATTAGTTTTGATTTGTATTCTTGCACCAATAACAATATAATTAAAGAAAAAAATACTTTAACCATTCTCAAATTCATACATATGCATACACTCAGCCAAAATATGCATTGTAAGCAGTCACTGACCATGGCAGGTGTGAACAAGAAGTTAATACTAGAAAAGTAATGGTTAATACTGCTTTCGAAAAGGTCACAGATGATTAAGGATGAAGATTCTAGATTTGAAGCTTTCGTGACTGCAAGGTTCCATACTCTTTGGTTCTATTCGGTAATGTCACGTAGGTAAAAAATAAAATAACAAAAAATCACGACGTTTTGGCCACAACACAAGTGGCCTTCATCAGGTGAAGGGACTGGACTGTCCAGAGGACAGCGTTGGAGTGAAGACAGCAAGCCCAGGTCGCGTCCTTTAAGCTGCGTGGGAGGAAACAAAAACGCCTTGACAAAGGAATTAGCATAAAATGATGTACTGGACCGGCACGATGGGGGGGGGGGGAGTTTACATAATCTTGGTGTGAAGGGAAATCAGCTGCTGTGAAAGTTTGGAATACCACTTCTTGAATAAATATACTGTACCATTGAAAATTAGTTTAATGTTTGGTTTGATTTAGAACAGCTTTCCAATTATTGCTTAATTTGAAACCATCCTCTCGGTTGAAATTGTGTCTGTGTTTGTAAATCTGAATTGCTTCGTGGACAAATCTCTGATAAAAACCCGTGGGTTTACAGAGAACCTTGGTATCGGAGAAAACTATATCGTGATCACCCACAGCGTTGCAAACAGTGATCAGCTACGGCAGAAGAATTCATTCTGCCGTGTTTCAAATCTGATTTGTGCTCACGAATTCGGTCAGAGACATGTCGTTTCGTCTCCCCGATATAGCAGTCACCACAGGTGCAGCTCAGTTTGTAAACCCCGGGGTACTGTAAGTCAGGAACGACATCCTTCACGGATGGGGTCAGGTCACGGATTTTGTGTACTGTATTGAACCGGACCGGGACCTTGTGTTTGTTTAGAATTTTGGAGATCTTTTTAGTAACGCCTGCTATATATGGTAGTGTTATGGTTTTGACCGGAGTATCAAGTGGTTGTTTCTGTATGGAGGGAGAAACAGCTTGGCGGATGGTACGGTCAGAGTATCCGTTTCTCTTGAGGGCCAGGTGTACATGTTTTAATTCACTGGTCAGGTGGTGTTGGTCCGAAATGCAATGTGCCCTGTGGTATAACGTTTTGATGAGATAATTATTTTGAGCTGAGTGGTGGTGGGATTCAGGTTTCAAGTAGGAATCTGTGTGGGTGGGTTTCCTGTAGACAGAATGCCCCAGTGAGCCATCAGGTCTCCTCTCAAACAGAACATCCAAGAATGGTAGCTTGCCATCTTTCTCCACTTCCATGGTGAATTTGATGGCGGGATGTCTAGAATTGATGTGGTGTAGGAAAAGGTTCAAAGCTGGGAGGCCATGTGGCCAAATTACGAAAGTGTCATCCACATATCTCTTCCACAGGGAAGATCTGAGGGTGGAAGTCTGGATGGCGTCTGATTCAAATTTCTCCGTGAAAACATTGGCTATCACTGGTGATAAGGGAGAACCCATGGGGGTACCCTCATTTTGTTTGTAGAAGGTGCCATTCCAAGTAAAGTAAGTATTGGTGAGGCAGTGTCTAATCAGCGCAGGTGTATCGGGGTCTAGTCCATGTTGTACCTTCTGCTGCAAGACCCCCTAGATTCTATGATCTCCCCAAGATTCATAAAGAAGGTACTCCACTACGTCCCATCGTATCCACGATCAACTCCCCTACCTATAAGCTAGCACGTTTTCTGTCAGATACCTTGCTACCTTTCACTGGCAAGACCTCCTCAGCAGTAATTAACTCAGCTCATTTGGTCTCTATGGTCAAAGACGTTTTACTGTCCCCTGACGATATCCTTGTCATCTTCGATGTGGTCTCCCTGTTCACCAAGGTCCCGGTACCTGACACCATTGAAATCATTGAAAATTTGGTATAACATGGACTAGACCCCGATACACCTGTGCTGATTAGACACTGCCTCACCAATACTTACTTTACTTGGAATGACACCTTCTACAAACAAAATGAGGGTACCCCCATGGGTTCTCCATTATCACCAGTGATAGCCAATGTTTTCATGGAGAAATTTGAATCAGACACCATCCAGACTTCCACCCTCAGACCTTCTCTGTGGAAGAGATATGTGGATGACACTTTCATCATTTGGCCACATGGCCTCCCAGCTTTGAACCTTTTCCTACACCACATCAATTCTAGACATCCCGCCATCAAATTCACCATGGAAGTGGAGAAAGATGGCAAGCTACCATTCTTGGATGTTCTGTTTGAGAGGAGACCTGATGGCTCACTGGGGCATTCTGTCTACAGGAAACCCACCCACACAGATTCCTACTTGAAACCTGAATCCCACCACCACCCAGCTCAAAATAATTATCTCATCAAAACGTTATACCACAGGGCACATTGCATTTCGGACCAACACCACCTGACCAGTGAATTAAAACATGTACACCTGGCCCTCAAGAGAAACGGATACTCTGACCATACCATCCGCCAACCTGTTTCTCCCTCCATACAGAAACAACCACTTGATACTCCGGTAAAAACCATAACACTACCATATATAGCAGGCGTTACTAAAAAGATCTCCAAAATTCTAAACAAACACAAGATCCCGGTCCGGTTCAATACAGTACACAAAATCCGTGACCTGACCCCATCCGTGAAGGATGTCGTTCCTGACTTACAGTACCCCGGGGTTTACAAACTGAGCTGCACCTGTGGTGACTGCTATATCGGGGAGACGAAACTACATGTCTCTGACCGAATTTGCGAGCACAAATCAGAATTGAAACACAGCAGAACGAATTCTTCTGCCGTAGCTGATCACTGTTACAATGCTGTGGGTGATCACAATATAGTTTTCTCCGATACCAAGGTTCTCTGCAAACCCACGGTTTTTATCAGAGATTTGTCCACGAGGCAATTCAGATTTACAAACACAGACACAATTTCAACCGAGATGATGGTTTCAAATTAAGCAATCATTGGAAAGATGTTCTAAATCAAACCAAACATTCAACTAATTTTGAATGGTGCAGTATATTTATTCAAGTAGTGGTATTCCAAACTTTCACAGCAGCTTATTTCCCTTCACACAACATTATGTAAACTCCCCCCCCCCCACCGTGCCGGTCCAGTACATCATTTTATGCTAATTCCTTTGTCAAGGCGTTTTTTGTTTCCTCCCACACAGCTTAAAGGACGCGACCTGGGCTTGCTCTCTTCACTCCAACGCTGTCCTCTGGACAGTCCAGTCCCTTCACCTGATGAAGGCCACTTGTGTTGTGGCCGAAACGTCGTGATTTTTTGTTATTTTATTTTTTACCTACGTGACTTTACCGAATATAACCAAATAGTAAGGATGAAGATATTGAAAGTTTGTGTGTGAAGTACAGTGGGATATGCCAGTGAAACATGGACACTGCGTTTTAAATGTGGTGTTAGAGGATAATGGAAACAGTCAGCTTATGTGACAACAAGATGAATGAAGATGTGCTGAGAATGGCTACAAGCAGAAATTACTGGGAAGTCTGATGAGAGGAAAGATCACTTATGTGGCACCTATACTAAGTCGGCTACTGCTGGAGATATCACGAATATGATTTTGAAAAGAGAAATGGGAGTGAAGAGGGGAAGAATACGGATCAACTGGTGGGACAATGTTATTAGTCAGATGTGACTTTCCATGAAAGGTGCTGCAAATCGCAAATGTTGGAAAGTATTTGTCATGGGCTTACCCTCAGTTGTGAGGTAGACACTAGATAGATATATACTTGAACAAAGAAATGTATCCATGCTGAACTCATCATTCTGAATAATGGTTTTGTTCATAAATTATGCATGGAACATTCTAAATTAATTCCCGGATTCTGCAAGGCATTTCAGACAGCATGAGCTTACCTACATCTGCATGATTCAAAAGTCTGTAAATGTGACATTTTTTACTCCCATTTATAAATGCTATATGTATCCTTCAACTTGTTTTTCACTGCTCTTATTTTCTTTGGTTTAATTATTATTACACAACCTAATTAATACATCTTGTTTTGGCAACTTAAAAAAAGACAAATTATTCTTGGACGTGGGTTTTAATATATCTAATCCTCCATACACACGCACCTTTAAATGCGAGCTGTATTCACCCTGTTATGGGTCTGGGCTGTCCACAAACACTTGTATCCCAGGCTGTAGCTCCAACTCCTGGGCTGGAGTCAGCCCAGGCAGCCAAAATTCTAAGTCAACCAACCCCAATAAAACCCATAATATACCTAAACATTACATCAATGATGTCAAATCTTTGTATTCTTTCAAGAAGAAGATTTGCAGCCATTTCTTGGAAGGTATGAAGTAGAGATCGCAATCCAGGTATCTAGGTGAAAATGTATAGCTCCAGTATGCCTCAAATACACGGTTTTCGTGGTTAAATTAACTCCTTAATTTTGCACAACTTATATAAATGTTTCCAAAAACCCATTGTGTATGACTTGCTGATTTTAAAACAAAACATGTTTAATTAGAACATCTACATAAAAAGAATTCTACCAAAAAAGTGATATTTGCTTTGAAGCATCTTCAAAGGAATGGCTACCAACTAAAGTCATCAATGATGTCTCATCTTGGTAAATTCCAGGTTTAATTTTATCCAAACTGATGGTATGGACCTGCCTTTTTTGGGGCTTTACGTGGTCGGGCATGGCATAGAAGGGTCTGAAATTGGATGCATGAAGATGCAGCGTTCGTGAATGCAGAGGCAATAGGAAACGTAGTTATTAATGCTTGTATTTGCCCCATGCAGTTGTTCTGAACACAAGCAATCCATCTGAAATATGCCACAGTACCCTCAAAATCCCAGCAAAAAGAGACAGGAAATAATTATTATACACACGACTGTACAATTGGGTTACATTATTCATAGTTGTAACAAATTGCCCCCCAACAGAGCAACAAACAAGTGGTGGAAAGGGGCAGGTGGGAGTAGGTGTAAGTGCATTTATTCATTCCTGTCATGTTTAGGGGGTAATGCTGAAATCACATTAAACCTATTAAACATTACTATGAGAGCTGTTTAACATAGCTCATTTTCAATATTTGTAATAACCAGAACGGAGGTAACTAACTGAACACGTATAGCATTGTACAACATTAAAGGAAGAACAATATTATTTTTCAAGATGCATGTTACAATTAATAATTAGTGTTGTTACTCACTGAGGCCCTTAGAGACCAAGGACAGTCGCTTCTCGGGCAGATTCATGAAGCGAGGCTTGATGAGATCTTCCAAAGTAACAGCTGCCAGTGCGTTTATGCTGGAGGACACTGTACTACACATCACAAATCATAATCTATATCAAAATATGGCACGGTAAATTATACAAGTATTTTTAAATCACAACTTCATATTTGATATTTTTTTTAAAGAGGAAATATAATCTCACTCAAATGAGCATGAGGCAGTATCCATCTGCTATATACAATCCTGAGCCAATTTTATTAATTTTATTTTAAATAGTGATCCTCTTATTGGGAGCCGTGCTAACCGATATGCTGCTTCGATAGAAAATAGTGCTATGAACCGGCGAACTGAACTCAGTCTCCAGTCATTTCTGGATGTCGAGACCAAGCAAGGGAGGAGTTGTGTCGATTGGCCACCGTTGTTTAAAGCCATGTGTCCTGCCCAAGTCCATGTACTTTGTATTAACAATCAATATGTCTCAAATGTGCATTTGTTCCATGTTCTAAGTCAAGGTCCATGTTTTCGATCCGAGTCTCATGGTCTGTAGTATGGAACTGAAAACGTGATTTTTGAGGCATATTTTCCTGCTGTTTTTCATTCTCAGATTCAGCTAACTTGTTGTACATGATGGATGATAGGATGAATTTTCTGCATGACTTCGCTTGTCCGAGTAACGGCTGTGGATAAGAAGAGTCTCTCTGGGGCGGGCATTTGATGTAAAAAAAGTAATATGACACCATTTAAAGTGGACCTTTCTTATAATAATGAAAATACATTATCCCGAGCAGAGTAGGAGTTTACCTAGATAGATTCTGGACGTAGATAGCAGGAGTTGTATATACTATGTTTGCGTATAAGAGGAGCTCCACTGCATTGGAGTTTATGGTCAATTGAATTTAACGTAATTAAGCAATTGCATACATGTCCCGAGACTCATGTTTACAGTGTTCCTGTGAAAACAAAACTTAACTCTTGTTCCTGTGTGTGTTTGTATATATGTTGAACTTCTTTCACACTGTACATGGCCAAACGTGCTAATCAGAGGTGCGAATGACGTTGCCTTGCTGAGCGTGAGAAGCTGCCTACCTCAGTGTACCACTGAAAGCACTGGAGACAAAGAGGCCCGGGACTCCTGGGAAGTCACTCAAGATGTCCATCACCAAGAAAGGCATCAGCTACAACCAAAAACCAGGAGGACAACACAGGATTATGGCATTTGTGCACGTTTAAATCATCATCAAGATTGAAACAGTACAATGGTTAGTTACACTGTGATTTTGTAATATGTTTTGGCATAGAATGCAGTTAATTTCATATACCCAAATCACCGCAATGTGGCCAATCTCATCAAATATGTGAAGTTCAGCAGGGTTCATATTGGATGGTGCTTGGTTGGATAGGTGACCGCCATGCACACACAACAAAATCAACGAGCAATGTCTCCTTCACATGCTCGTCTCCAGATAACAGTATAGGTACACAAAAAACTAACCGCTTTGTCAGTCAGTTTCTAGCGTTCTGATCGAATGCAGGCCATGCGCCGCCCAGCGCGCCTGGGGAGGTTTGCGGCAAGTGTAGATGGTGCGCGGAGTTAAGTTTGATCAAATAGCCCTCATCCCCAGTCGTGGTGTGGGGAGACCCTAATCCAGGGGTCGGCAACCCGTGGCTCCGGAGGCGAATTTGGCTCTTTAAGGACTGCTTTGTGATGTTATTTACTAAGGACCACCGTCTCATATTCACATGTATTGCATCTCTTGAAATGTAGAGGGGTTTTTTTGACCGAATTCGAAAATATATTGCTCTTATTGTTATTTTGGTTACCGACCCCTGCCCCAATCAAACAGTGTGATTATAAAAGAGCTATACATGTGTGCTGTGATACAGACTCAACTACCTGAGTTTAGGTAGTTGGGTCTGCTCAGGGCTAACACGAGTGACGATTATCTAAACCAGTCCTAGGCCTCCCCTAAGACGACACAGCCTCAAATGAGTACCTCGTACGATGTATACACATCGCAGCTTGGAAGACATTGGCGGGCGGGCGGGCGGGCGCGCAACTGGCCACCCTCCCCTTCGTGTGCAGTGCCGGCCTTCAAAAGTGTTCTCTAAACTGCACTTGGCCCAACAATGTGTTAAGGCTATTTGAGGATATTTATTTTTAAAGCTTTATTAGATAACTAAACGTCATGACAACTGTTGATTCCACTGTGAAACATTTTTTTTGTTCCTCGGTAGTAAGTGTTATTTCCTAATTGTGTATGCCTCAAAAGTACAGAAATCACTATTATTCCCCACAAACTTTGCTTTTATGACCAGGACAATGATATTTTGAAATATACCTATTTTCCAGAACATTCCAGATAGATTCAGTGCTGAGTAAACTTGGAGTAACTTCTAGAACATTCTAGAACTTTCCTGTAATATAAATAGTCGTATAAATACAGGGGCCTTAAGCCCACTAGTTCAGTTTAGTTCCAGCTGCCTATGTGGATACATATCTTATTTTTTCTGAGATGACCTCAAGAGGCTGCAAGCATCCGACAGACACATTTGGCTTTGTCTGCCCCCAATTTATCAAGACAAGAGCGAAAAAGTACCATGTGGAAGCATCTGCTAAGATGTGTGAGGCCTGCAAGGAATATTTGGGCATGCATGTCAGGGATCAAGAAAAACCCTGGACACTTCATTTCACCTGCAAGCAATGCAAAACAACTCTAGAAGGTAAGATGGACAATTGTTGCTCAGAAATTTATGTTAGACAATTTGTTACAATTTTTTAAATTATTAAAGTTTTTAATTATAAAATGTTTTACAATTTTTAAGTTATTAAAAAATATATCATTTATTAAAAATGTTAGGAGAATCTCTCACACATTAGTCATGTGTGAAATAAATGTATTTTTGTAGGATGGTACAGAGGGGAAAATAGAGCCATGAAGTTCGCTATCCCAAGAATTTGGTGGGAACCCACTGACCACTCAAGCAACTGCTACTTCTGCATGGTGGACCCTTCCAAACGTCGGACTGGCAAGAATGCACCTGCTATCAAGTATCCAGACCTTCCTTCATCCATCGCCCCGGGTGCCACATTGCCATGAGTTCCCCGTACCCACTCCTCCGGAGAGAGAGCAGATGTCTTTAGAAGAGAGCATCAAGTCAGAGAGTGAGGAAGACGTAGATCCAGATGACAATTTCAGAGGTGGAGCTGAGGAGGGAAACTCATACTACCCCAACAAAAAAGACCTCAACGACTTGATCAGAGATCTTGGCCTCACCAAGTCCAATGCCGAGCTGATGACATCTAGGCTCAAGCAGTGGAACTTGTTGAATGAAAGTGTGCAAGTCGCAGATCAGAGGAATCGTCACCAACCTTTTTGCAGCTTCTTCACCCGTCAAAATGGGCTCTGCTTCTGCCACAATGTGACCAGTTTGTTCGAGGCAATCGGAATCGCCTGGAACCAGACTGAGTGGCGCCTTTTCATTGACAGCTCATCCAGGAGCCTCAAAGCCGTGCTGCTCCATAATGGTAACAAGTGCCCGTCTCTTTGCCTGGCTCACTCAAAGACGATTACAACAGCCTCAAGACCTTGCTGGACGCCTTGAAGTAAGATAAGTACGGCTGGGAGGTCATCGGAGACTTCAAAATGGTGGAATTCCTGATGGGTCTCCAAGGCTGTTTTACCATGTTTCCCTGCTATCTTTGCGTTTGGGAGAGCGGGGACACCAAGGTGCACTACCACAGACGGGACTGGCGACAGCGGACCGAGTTCTCTGTGGGGAGGAACAACGTCAAGTGGGAGCCTAAGCTGTCTGAGGCAAAGGTCAAAGCTGGTGTCTTCGTCGGACCACAGATAAAGAAGATCCTGGAGTGCAATGAATTCCCCAAGAAGCTCACAAGTATGGAGAAAGCGGCTCGTAACAGCTTTGTCGCAGTGGTTCGTGGCTTCCTGGGCAATCACAAGGTCGAAAACTATGTGGAGCTGGTTGAGACCGGTGAAGAACTACAGCACGATGGGCTGTAGGATGCCCCTCAAAGTCAATATCCTTGATACTCATCTTGATAAATTCTAGGAGAACATGGGAGCTTACTCGGAGGAGCAAAACGAGTGCTTCTACCAGGATATACTGGACTTTGAACGCCGCTACCAAGGACAGTATAACGATAACATGATGGGAGACTACATTTGGGGGCTGATTTATGAAAGTGATTTACAGTATAATCGTAAATCTCGAAAAACTACTCACTTCTAACTCTTTTGTGGTAATTTTTGTATTACTTAGTATAAATAAATGTTAATTTTGATTCATATGTTGTTTTTTTCTGACTTTTTATATGAACAAAAAGACAACAATTCGCCCGTTTTCTCATTAAAAATATATAAATTTTAAAACATAACTGTCCTGGTCACAAAAGCAAAATTTGTGGGGAATAATAGTCATTTTCTATACTTTTTAGGCATAAGCAATTCGGAAATAACACTATTCAGGAACAAAAATTGTGTTACATTGTGTTATGATGGTGAAATCAATGATTGTCTTATAGTTGATCCCTCACCTGGTCACTGGCAGAGACGAGCCCAGCAGTGAGTGGGTCACAGTCGGCGTATTGCGCGTACATAACCAGTCCGCAGAGGACGGAGCAAGCCAGGATTATCCACAAACCCAGCAGATTCAGGTACAGAGCTCTGGAGAAGGTTAAATGGTAGAAGGCAGGCAACAGAGAGTCACGTTTTTCAAAGCACAGAGCTCTATTCTCAATTCATGTAAAAAAAAATGTTCGGGAACAGGGTAGTTCAAAGATACAGTCCAGCTCGGTTCGATGTTGAAGTCAGCAGATGATAATAAAAAAAAAGTAAACTTGTTCAAGACCGCCAAATTTGTATTTAAGTGAGGGCGATTACTGAGATGTTTTTGTAAAAAAAACAGTATTATGAATCTCTACACTAAGGTATAAGTATGGAAGCCAATTATAACAGAAAGTTGCATTCACCATAAAAAAACTGTATTTGGTTTGATGCACACAACTTTAAATGCACAAACACAAAACCTACAATCATGTTATTCTAGGCTAATCAACCAACCCCCAAGACTAACACAGCATGAGGAGGACTTTATCATGAGTCTGTTGATGAAGGGCTGTAAATCTATAGGATAAAAACAAAGATTCCTGTATAGCCTTAACAAGCTGTTAGTGCAAGTGCTGTTAGCAAACAGGTATGAAGGACTATACAGCACACGAGGGGGTTAGTGGCCCGCACCACTCATAACCCGCCTTTGTCTCCATAGTGGCGATGTATACTCATGTGGTACTTATTTGAGGCCGAGTCGACTTAGGGGAAACCTTGGACCAATTCAGAACTCGGGTCACCGGGTTTGTAGTGCAGACCGCTAACTGCTCCATCATCGCTCCCACATTTTTACAAGCATATACTGTGCTTTATATATACACACATAGACTTCCACATATACTTTATACATCCACATACGCCAACATATACATTGTAGGCCTGGTGTTTGTCTTGGTGACGCTGGTGGCCCCAGTGCTGCACCAACATTTCCACCGTAACACATTCCTGCTGATGGAGCTGGTAGGATCGTTGGGTTGCTCGGTCAATGGCCAGGGTCAACGGCGGCGTGGCGTATTCCGCAAATATCCCCGACTGTGAGGGCGGGCACAAGCCGGCGTGAGTAGGTTAAACGTTGAGTTTTATAAGGGCACCACGGGGTGACCAGCTCCTCCCCACCCAGCCCCACCCCTCCCTCCCTCCCCACCCAGCCCCTCCCTCCCCACCCAGCCCCTCCCCACCCTCCCCTCTCCACCCAGCCACACCCCTCACATTTTTGGATGCACGACGGACGGACAGAATAATCCCCTGTGGGCTGGTGTAACCAGGAGGTTCCTACCAGTATAACTCTATCATGAATCACCAAAAAGCTGTGGTTCTCAACCGGGGGTACGTGGACCCCTGGGGGTATGTGGCAATGTCCCAAAGGGTACGTGAAGTGATGTATAAATGTGTGATATTATGTCATACACAAGAGTCATTGGTGAACAATCATGTATGAATCTGTCAATATAAAGTAACTACAATGATATTTTAATCCATATGGTAACAGAGAACGATGTAAAAAAAAACTTTCTAAACTCATGGATCGTAAACCATGTGGTTTCTAAAAGTGCAAAACGTGCATTTCAATATTTTTTATTCGCTTGCAGTTAGACAGCTAGTTAGGATACCTCACAAATGGATGATTGGTTAAAATATTGATTTTCATTATTCATACATTTATTTGTTAGAACCATATTGGTTCAGGCAAGGGGGATTCTCGGTTGAAACAAAATTGAAGAAGATGTACAGTAACCAAGTACAGTAACCAAAAAAGGTTGAGAACCATTGAATCTAGAGGATGGTCCCAAACACTCCCCAAATGGTCCCCACCCATCAACCGAGGATCTCAAAGAAATACTGTTTAAAGATATATATGAAGTGGCTATTGTATGTGTAGTGTAATAGCGCCGGCTGATGGTCAGCGGCGGCAACTGTAGAGGACAGACAGTACACACGCCGATGAGGGAGTGCAAGGGTGTGTTGACAGAGCGGAGGAACTAGAGCAAGGGTCATGGAGGACCCCATCTGGAGGCCTCTGGAACCCGCTAGTGGGTACGAGAAGGGAGGCGCCGTCAGGGCTGAGCCAGGCTGTGCTGGCAGCATAAAAGGAGCCGAGAGCAGGAGCTTGAGGGTGCCGGTTCTGGGAGGGGACTCGTTTCGCCATTGCTGTCATCGCCATCGTTGCTGCTGTCTCCACTAGATATTGCGCAACAAGATGGTAATTAGCTATCTCAGTCAGCGCCATCAGCGATAGACGGCTAGTGTTGTGTACAGGCTAGGCTGAGCTACTGTGGAGAGTGTGTGGACGAGACCGTGAATGGTGTTTAATAAAGAAGGTGTCTCTACAACTGGTGTCAGAAGTGGGATGGAAAATTCGACAGGCGTTAGGGTATGAGGTGCCATGTTGAAGCTATCCAAGAAGCGGAACCCACCCATAGTGTCATTGGAGGACGAGGATGGCGAGACGGTCATCCTTCCGACAGCCCTAGGACCCGGGACCCTGGTTACAAATCCCGTTGGCGCAGGAGCGGCGGCTGCGGATCAGCGGGAGAGGGGCAACAATCCTCCGGAGTCACGAGCTGAGGAAGGGTGGCGCGAGGTGGTTGGCCGCCTCGACCTGCTCCTCATGACCGTCGGCCAGCTGGTCACGCAACTCTCCACGTCCATGCCTGCCATTCAGGGGATTACGAGTGCGCTGCGGGGCTCGCTGGAGCTGCCGTCTGCAGCTGCCATTTGTGCGGCGGAGACGATGTGGTTTGCGACCGCCATTTCGCCCGCGGATGGCACGGCATGGCTGGCGGATGCCATTTGGCGTGGGCTGCGGGGCTCGCTGGAGTTGCCACCGGCAGCAGCGATTCATGCGGCGGAGACCACGCGGTTGCCGACCGCCATTTCGCCCATGGAGGGCATGGAGTGCCCACCGGGTGCCATTGGGAGTGGACCGCAGGTCTCATTGGACCTGCCACTTGCAGCAGCGATTCCCGCGGCGGAGACCACGTGGTTGCCGGGCACCATTTTGTCCGCGGAGGGCACGGCGTGGCCGGTGGTCACCATTTGGAGTGGGACGTGGGACGACGCTAAGGGGGTGCCGCATCTGGCAGCGCTACAAGAAGCCGCATGCCCGCCGATGACGGCTGCCTACTGTTCGGGAGTTCGTGGCAGTGGGAGGCGATTGGACGGCGTTCCATCATCGCTTTGAGGCAGCTTGGTTGTCCATCGGGTGGACAGAAGAGGAGGCCCTGCGAGCCCTACCGACTGCGCTCGACAACGATGCGTTGGCGGTGTTCTGGGCCATCCTGGAAGGAGATGGACCAACTGTCCAACGGGCATACACCCAAATGGCAGCAGTCTTCGACCCGCCGTACAACGCCTGGAGGAGATTTTTGCAACAGAAGCACCATCGACGCCCTCCACCTCGCCGTCATCTGCTCCCCAAGCCCCACAGGATCCGAGACCATTATGCCAGAGAATATTCTGAGGTCGCCATGTGCGAGGGATCTAAGGCTGGAGCACGGTCAGGTGCTACAGATGAATCCAGGGAGGGGCCGTGCCCTTTAGGCCGTTTTTTGTTGTTCCTCGGAGCCCCCAAGAAGTGCAAGATCCTGCTCAAGGCGGGGGACCGGCGTCAAGGACCCGGTTCACTTGAGCAACGTTCCAGTAAAGCAGACTCTCCTTTGTACTGTGTAATTGTGGAAAAATGGCTTGTTAAGGGTAATGGGTGCTGAGAAGGGGTCGTATGGTGCTGTGTGTTTTGTGTTGACAGTTGTGGTCGTTGTTATTAGTTGTTGTTTTTTTTTGCCGCATCGCGCATGTTCGGGTGGATCGGCTGTTGGGCTTGTCGGTTTGTGGGGGGCACCACGGTTGTGCTGTGTGCCTGCGCGCCCCGAGTTGCCCAGGTTGAGCAAGTGTTGTGTTGACGGTTCGCGAGATGTATCGCGACTATGTTTTTGGATGGTTTTTGTTTTTTTGGGAGTTTTTTTTTTATGTTCCTCAGTTGTGGGAGTTGCTCTGCCTGTCCACCCAGTTGCATTGCTGTGTATCAGCCAGGGTGGCTGGTTTTTTAAACAAGTGTGGGGGTGATGTAGTGTAAAAGCACTGGCTGGTTTGACAGCAGCGGCAACTGTGGTGGACAGACAGTACACACGCCGGTGAGGGTGTGCATGGGTATGTTGGATTGTATAGTCAGGGTAACCATTAGCCTTAAGAGTTACTCCGACTATATAATCCGCAAAGCTATCACTCAAACCATGAAGAAGGACCCTCTTGAGGAGCCTTTCAAAACCATCACTTTACCCTACATTGCGGGGATCACAAAAAAGATCTCCAAAATCTTGAATTAAACACAAGATCCAGGTCCGTTTCAACACATTACATAAAATCCGTGATCTGGTTCCATCTGTAAAAGATGTGATTCCGGACATACAGTACCCTGGTGTCTACAAACTAAGTTGCCTCTGTGGTAGTAGTTACATTGGAGAAACCAAACGCCATGTCTCGGACCGCATTCGTGAATGCAAAACAGACCTTAAACACCGTAGGACCAACACCTCGGCCGTGGCAGATCATTGTTATAATTCAGTAGGCTCACATGACATTGACTTTTCCAAGACAGAGGTTCTTTGTAAGCCATTTGGCTACCATGAGAGATTCGTTGATGAGGCTATCCACATATACAAGCACAGAGACAATTTCAACCGAGAAGATGGATTCTGGCTTAGCATCATTGGAAAGATTTGATAAACCATTTCAGGTCTTAATTGATTGTTCACGCTTACATTGGCTTTCAGACAGCATACATTATTTTTTCATCTCCCCCCTCCTCTTTTCAGAACATAGATGGACTAGTCCTTCTAAATAAACTGCCAAATCGCTGCGCGTGGCGCTGACGTTTTTATAAATAAATACACCGTTTAAAAATAAATAAATTTATGCAAACCGACACACCTGATGACGACCGTTTGTGTTATGGTCGAAACGTCGTGAGAATTTTTATTGTTTTATATATATTTTATTATTTTATTGTTTCCCTTCAACGTGACTTTACCGAAAGAGCTAAGAATATCTTAACTGGTTATTTATGTTTCCATCCTACCTGCCATTGTCAGCAGTTATTTCCGACTCTCTGAGTTACATTACCAATTTACATTACCAAGTTAAATGTCCTTATATTAACGGGCTAAATGTCTCACTAACAAAGCCAATGTTGCCCCTTTCCCTCGATGTGGCGGTGGCTCTCGTTTTTTAGCAGACTATAACTGGCTGTGATGTTGTTGTGTGTGTCTCTCTCTCTCTGTGTATGTGTGTCGGTTTGTGTGTGTGTCTCTTTAGATTTCTCTCTCTGTCTCTCTCTCTGTGCGTGCGTGTGCCTCTCGGTGTGTGTCTCTCTCCTTCCCTCGATGTGATGTTGTCATCCGTTTGTTTCCCTCGTTTCCTAACGAGCTGGATGTCTCAGTAGCACAGCCACTATTGTGTTGGTTCGTTAACATTGACATGCTAATCTCTCACAATACAATGGCACCTCCTCAGCTCTCGCAGCTCTTGCATCAACCACAACCCCCCCTTCCCCCCGATCTCGGTTCCCATCTTTGGATTTCCCACTCACTTAGGCACAATCTCTAGCCCTCACCCTCTTGCCCGATGCGGCAACCCACCCTCCCCCCCTCTCGGCTCTATATATAAGGACTTGTTTCAGTAGCCTGTTTCTCTCTCCCACCTGAAGACGATTGCTTGTGTGGCAATCGAAACTTCGTGATCTATTATTTTTTGGACCTACGTGACTTTACCGAAAGAACCAAAGAGTATGATTTTTCTAATTTCCAGGTAGTCCAATTTCTTGCGTTTTGATACCAATATCGTTGCTGTGATGGGTTTTCTGGTTGCTGAGTCTCTCTTGGTACACAGTTGTGTTTATATAATGCCGACCAGTGACGTGCGGTGAGGTCAATGGCTGGGGAGGCACTGGCTAGTGTCAGAGCCAGATTCAAACACTGAGGGGGGCGTGGCCTCACGGAGGGGGCGTGGCTTCACCGAGAGGGCGTGGCCTCACGGAGGGAGGCGTGCTAGACACGTCTCCCTCAGTGAGGCAGATGTGATAGCTGCCTCCCCTGGTGCTTTTTCATTGCAGTTTCATGACAAAACCAGCGAGTCTAAATATCTTTATACAAATACGTGAAATAAGTTACCTGGAGTATGGAAGGCGAGGACATGAAATTAATGAGTCTACAAACATTACATTGGTGACATACTGAGATAGTAACAGGCACGCGCTTATTGGCCGGGCTCCATCCAGTTATTGAGGAGTTGTGCAATCAGAGGGGAGGCTGAGCTCGTCGCTGCCTTATCTCTCGTCTCTTCCTGTATTTGCAGCGGAGCTCCGCAAATTTGGCGGTTTTGACTATAAAAATGATTGGAATCGTACAGAAATGACATTTATAAAACAGATCAGTGGAACATTTGTAATATTTATTTTATTTCATTATTCTTTTTTTTATTTTTCGTAACAGCTATTTTCATTGGAGTATGACAGGTGAGGCTCTGCCTCCCCTGCCTCCCCTGACCGCACGTCCCTGATGCCGACCAAATATATTAGTATCTTCCTGCATAAGAAATTCAAAACATGTAAGATGTGAAAAACCCACTTCAAACACTTACAGCTTGGCCTGTCGCTGCGTCTTGCAAGCCAAGTATCGTTGAACTTGAGATTGGTTGACTCCATAGATGGTCGTCCACACAAATGTACCGCCCACCAAGACAGACCAAAACGTGTGTCGAAACCTTGGGTCGGGATGGAAGCTGAGACAGGAGAATTGTGTTGTAATAACTTGACAATCACATTGCGCCGAATTAAAAATGGCATTAAATGACATGAGCAGAACGACAGAGAAGTGGCCTCTTCATGTGTTGTGAAGAAGGGCCATTGCCCCATTCATTCCCTTTCATATGCCTTCCTTTAAAGGCCGTGTTATTGACGAATGTGTTGATATTTGTGTGTGCGTGTGCACCACTGCTAATGCAGTATCACCAAATAATGTGTCATTTTGGGCAGAAGTTCAACATTGAAAAGTTGAATATTGAGGTATATATTTAAAATAGCAGAACGGTAAATATCTGTAATCCCTTCTTACCAGAATATGAAGCTAAGATCTACTAAGCCTTACAAGCGTGAAGCTGAATGTAATAATGAGAAGCCTATACTCTAGTACGGAACAGGTGGGTACATTCCATTGAGAAATAAACTCCATAATATAGGTTTTTTTGGGTTAGATTGTGTAAATATAAATGTATCGTTAAACCCACCACCATAGCCAATTTGTAAGGTTTGTCACGTAAACAGAACATGCCAATTCGTCAATAGTACAGCGCACCTGTGTGTTGGAGAGAAAATCCACAACATTTACAACCAGTAATTACAACTGCCATCATCAGGCAGACAGCCAGATTTGTGGCGAATCACAATTGTTTCGTTCTTTAAATAGAGTGATAGATGTGATGACGTCACTTGTGAGCTCTTCACTTGGGAAGTGGGGGGGTGTTAATGAATGAATATAAATTACAATCGGTATCCATTGCTGGTTGGGTTATTCATATGGTGAGCATCGTACATTATGCATGAACATTATGCATGCACATTGTTCTTTTACCTCCTGTTGTTTGCGTGTTATTGTTTGCGTACAGGTAATTCCCATTGGCGTATGGTGACCTGTATAGACATGCATTTAAACAATTTATTATTTGATTATTTGCTTCCAAGCAACACTAAGCCTGTAGCTATCAGAATTGTTAAAATTAAATGTGTTTCTCTAAATTTCGATAGATTATCTAATTAGACTTAGCCAGTAGTAACTAGTTTCGCACATAACTTCAACATTATTAAAATCAATTGAGTGTCTTTGTTGGCACGCGTGTTCTGCCATTGATGACAGTTGTATTTGGGAGTATTTAATATTTATTTGGTGTTCCTTTATTATTGTGCTCATCATTCGTCCTGTTTGCCCAACATAGCATTTGCTACATGTGCAATTAATCCGGTACACACCTTCTGTTGATAGCTTCGGTTATGCATCTTTAGTACCAGATATTAGTTTCTATATTTTATGTACCATGCCAAATCTTACTCGGACGTTTTATTTTTCCACAAATCTGGCTAGTTTATCAGTTAATCTCGCAATATATAGTATTTTAATAGTTTTAATTACTTGGTCAATTTCAACTATCGTGTTATTTGATTTGGTTTTGGCATTCAGTACCCTGTTGATTTGTGCACCATCATAACCATTCAATTGAGAATAGGGTTTCCCCTTTTTTTCTGGCAACAAAACAGGTGCCCTCTGGTCTAGCACCGTTTTGAGACTAGGCTTAAAAGAAAGCTGTCTCTGGAGTGGACCAATCAGTTTCAAAGGCAATGCATATATTGTCAGAGTATGTTTTTGTTTGCATTCTGACCACAAGTATTGTTGTTATATGCAGACATGATTGCTTGTGAAAGGTTTCAGTTTGGTGTATTAACATCTTAACACCTGTTTTGTTGCCAGAAAAAAAGGGAAACCCTATGCTCATGTTGAATTTCACTTCTCAGACTTGATGAGAGAGGATTTCTGCGCGGAGTGATGGTGTGACTGCATTCAGATAGGCGTCAGTGTGCATTTATTTCGGTAAATTCTATGTGTTATTTTACCATTTCAGCCGCCCCCGAATAGAATATCCAGAAATGGGAGAGTTCTGTCAACTTCCACTTCCATGGTGAACTGGATGGACAGGCTTTGCGAGTTGAGATGATTGAGAAATTCGTTCGTGTAACTTTGCCGTGTGGCCAGATCAACAGTGTGACATCCACATATCTAAACCAATCAAGGTTTTAGTGTGCTTGAGGCTATTGTTTTTGCTTCAAAATCTTCCATGTCCAAATTCGCAATCACAGGAGACAAAGGAGAGCCCATTGCTCCTCCTTCCTTTTGTTTCTATAAATCACCTTTCCACAAGAAATAGGTGTTCTTTAGACAGTGTTCAGCTACTCACGGGATATCTTTGACTAAACCGGTGTATTGAGTAATTTACTTGGCTCATTCACCGGAACCCTCGTGAACAGAGAAGTCGCATCAAAATGTGCAAGAAGATCATTAGGGTTAAGCTTAATATCTTTAATCATATTTACGAGATGTTCCGAGTGTTTAATGAATGAAGAGGTCCAACGATGTAGGGCTGTATTTGTTTCATGACGTATTGTGATAATTCGTATGTAGCAGAGCCTATTGTACTAACTATGGGTCTTAATTGGACATCAGGTTTGTAAATCTTTAGTAGCCCATACATTCTTGGTGGGTTTGACGCCCTTGGTTTGATCAGGTATTGCTCTTCCTTGGGAATTGATGACTTGGCAATGATTGTCATTGTCTTCCATTCCAAGGTATTGGTTGGGTTTCGTTGAATTTTAAGGTAGGTACATTCATCGAGTAAATATTTGATGTTATTATCGTAATCCTCATGGGGCATCACAACAGTTGATTGTTCTTTATCAGCAGCAATAACTTGGATATTTGTATTTGCTCTTAGTTCTCTTAAGTCGTTTGCCTCGCTGAAACTAATATTTGTTTCAGCTTGATTATGTGGGAGATGTTTAACTGCTGATTCCACTTAAGCAATTATCTAATCGACAAGGATTGTACGTGGGGCAACAGCAAAGTTAAGACCTTTAGACAGGACTGGTACCATATCACTGGTTATTTAAACGTTAGTTAGGTTGATAAGCCTTTTGTTTATACATTTTAGTTGAGAGTTGTTTGTCGAGCAAATTTATTAAATTGGGTAGTGTTAAATTTTGATTTAAAGCTTTGATTTAAAGCTTTCGTGACTGCTTTAAAGCTTTCGTTAAATTGGGTAGTGTTAGTTTTGTTAAATACATTATCAGCCGATTTCTGTACAATTGTGTCGATTATATTCCAATAACCTGTAGAGACGCTTTAGAAATGTGACGTAGTTCACTTCTATCATGCTGTATTCTCTCTTTTAGCAATAATTAACAAGCGTTATGTAGTTATTTTTATAGTTTTAAGTGACTTAATGTGATGAGTTATTTTAACCGCGTGTGGTATTACCAATAAATAAATAAACTGCTTTCAGTATGGTAACGATTCAGCATCTTCTTTGGGTCTTTCGGTAAAGCCACGTAGATAGAAAAATAATAATAAGAAGAATATCACGACGTTTCGATCACAACACAAAGAATATGAATTCCTGCAGTCACGAAAGCTTTAAGTTAAGATTCAGCATCAGTTTGGTCAAAATATAAAGCATAATTCTGTAAAAATATATACAAATTTGCACGATGTCTGATAAAAAAAATTCTGCATTCCCATGACCATAATCTGATATTATTGTCCTATATTCCTATAATCCTGTGAACATTTTATAAAATGTCGACGCATGGACTCACTGTTTTTTGCGGTCTGGACTGTACAAGCTGAAATGACGTTCAGCACTGGCAGCATGATTGTACTGATGTGACCGCACGAAACAGAGGGCTCAAAATTCCCGATGCACTGTCACTTAGTCATTCACGGTAGAAACTTCGTCTATGTGTCTCCTCACTGAAGAGGCAATGAGTCACAGAGAGAGCCACACCTCAGAGGGTCGAGACGACCTCCCTGCTGAGACCTCTCCCAGGTGACAGAGAAGCCACCCTGCAGGATTGTTCCCTGGATGATCACCGCCAGATATCCCGCCACCATCACCCCGATTTGGAACACGTCTGTCCAAACCACAGCCTTAAGTCCACCCTACAGAAAAAAATATAAACCGTGTGCAGTTCTGACATTACGTCAAATTCCTGAAAGGGAATGAGGAGATTGTTATAAACACTTAGGACAAAAAAAAAACTCCTCATGGATTGCCATGAAACATTAATAAAATGCTGCTGAATTACCAGATGTTATTGGAAAGAGTATTAATAAAATACAATAAATTATATAATAGATGACATTTTGAGCAATTGCTCTTCTTCATAGTAGATATGTGGTGCCAATATTCAATGTAGTTATAGCTATGGGACCTTTTTGGCAGTATTATTCAATCGTGTTGATTGTTTTTTTCTGAAGGAAGAAAGTCATATTGACCATTAAAAGGTGAGATAAGTTATTCACAGAGGTTAATGCTAATGCTACAAGTGCCTGCACGAGTGCCTTACCAGTGTAGTGTAGAAAGTGCATACGATCCCTGTCGCCATAATCGACCCCCATAGGTTAAATCCAGTCACTGAAAAAAACACGTTTTGATCATGGTCTACCTTATGATAAAAATACAGATTTATGCCAACTTAAGAGCAGATTTTATACTTCCTCGTATCACAAAAAAACACATACAGGCATGCAGCATTGCGAAATCAACACGTAATGCTAGTTTATTGGTTCCAGAAGGGATGAGGAAGTGGAACATTAAATCCATAAAGCCGAATGCAGAGATATTTTGTAATTGGTAAGTGGTGTCCTGAGCTACATCAAATAGTTTTGGAGCACTGTAGAGTTAAGGAACCGAGAGCAAACAAGGCTGCACGCAAAATACGGTTAAGTCTCAGTTATTCGTGGGTGGATTTTCCATGATGCAGACGCATAGAAACATTGCAATACATACACCGAGACACATACGTAATGCATACCGACAGAACATACAGGCTAATGCATTTGCAAACAAACACAGATACACAATTGACTAAAGACTTTCCACCCCACCCTAGCCAGCATATGATATTGAGGGAAGTGCTGTTATGGAGCACCTATAAAGGCCGGCATGTCGCAAAAGGGTGTGGTGTGGTCAGTGCCACAACTGAGTGATAATGTTTACCCCACTGGAGATGAACACAAAGATACCCCGTATAGCCTTAACAGACTGGAGGAGCAAGTGCTGTTAGCGAGCACCTATGAAGGCCGTAACGGCACACGAGGGGGTGGGTGACCAGCACCGCGCTCGGCCGCCGTTGTCTCCCTAGTGGCAATGTTTACACTCCACGCCAGGTACTCATTTAATGCTGAGTCGACCTAGGGGAGGCCCAGGACCTTTTCGACCGTGAGCAGGACTCGAACGCGGGTTGCCAAGTTAGTAGCGCAATGCACTGACCACTACGCCACCGCTCGCCATCCCACACACGTAAAGAAAAGATACACAGTCTTGAGCACTTATCAAGGCCAGCACAGCACAGGTGTTAGGGAAAATGGTGTGTAGATCTGTGATCATCACCACCATTGGTAATCGACACCAGCTGTTCACGGTCTATCTTTTCATGATGGTTTCGTTCGGAACGGACTCGCAATGCATACACACGTGCCGGTGCATGTTAGAGCAAAGGCTGGTTTATTAGCTCTGGCTCTGAACAGAAATTGTGCCGTGACATCATGGTACTCAGGCATAATCCTCCTCACCCCATAGTCATATGTGGTCGGAATTTTCTGTTTTGTCTTGAGCTCTATTCATGCGACAGGCCGGAATAACACTCTGGCCTGCTCATTAATAACAAAAAGACAATTTGCCAGATAATTTCTTGCCAATGGAATGTTCCACAATCACAAACTCAACTCGCAGATAAATTGTGAGACAGGATATGAGTGGAAATATGCAGTTGATATGTGATTACATTTTGGACCTTTGGGTGATATCAGCAATCAACTCGCCTAATTTTCCGAACAACATTTGGTATAATGTACTGTCATTTCATCAAGCAAAATATAAGAAATGAGGAAGACTGTCCTTACCCTGATTAAGAGCCAGAGCAGGAGCATAAATCACAATTCCGGTATAAAGAACCTGAAAAAATCGCAATAGATTATGTATATTCTACCTGTATGCAGGCATTAATTTATTAAGCAAAGATAATACTGTATACATATATGAACAAGCATTTAACATAAGTCTAGAAGTACTAAACTTAAAATACATTTTCAATTGAAATTATTAGCATGAATGTTAACAGTGTGAAGAGTAATATGTCTACTCACAGTTTGCACGATGTAAAAAACCGTTCCAAACAAACGTATGATTTTATTGAAACGCAGCTCCAAGTACTGCAAGAGATGCAATGTCATGCATGTTTCAGTGAACAGCACCAGTTAATTCCAGTTCAAGTATGGACTAGAAAAAGTGTATTGGAAAGTGCATATTTTTTACTCTTTTTATAGCCTGGCTCACAATTCATCTACTTGTGGAGTTTGCAGTTGCAGACCATTTCACTGGCAATAAATTCCGTGCCAAATTGAATTTGTATTATTATTGAGCAGGCCAAAGTGTTTTCCCGGCTTGTCGAACAAACAGAGTGCAAGACCAAACAAAAAAATCCAACTAAGTATGACTTAGGTACGGGGTGATGTAGGATTCTACAAAGTTAACCAATCAGAATTTATTCTAACGCATCTACAATTGTGTGCGGTCTGCATGCATTGGAGGTCTTTTCTTAAGAGAACCGTCATGTAAAGGAGTTTGAACACTTGGTGTAGATTTGTTTTAAGAAATTGCAGTATTGGTTTACAATAATTAATTAATTTTGCATTTTATTTTTTAGGTTTGCCAACGTGTATGCCTCAATTATTCACCAACCCATATTTGCCAGCATGCTAAAGAATGGTTACATAATTAGGGCCTTCCCACTGCCTGCACCATATAGAAACGCCCACGTCTAGCGGTAAATTAACAAATGGGCTGCACATGTACACTTGTACAATCCACGTTGTTAAACTGCATGCCTATACATTAACTATGAGCAGCCAACATCCGCTTTTGCGATTTTTTCATAATATGCATACGTGATGTACATACAATGTGTGTTGATTAACAAAAATAACACAAATAATAAATACCCATTGTAATTTATACTACTACATTAACTCCCCCTGGTTTTTGCACCTGATTGGCTCACAGTGATTATATCACGTTCACCTCCTCTATTTAAGACCGAAACAGGAGGATTTCTCCACAATTATGTTTGTCGCCTGATTAGGCTGGTTGTGATTACCGGCGAAACGTCATATTCGAATTGTAAATGTTGTGGGTTTATTCTCCAACACACCGGTGTGCTGAGCTAGTAACGAATTGTCATGTTGTGTTTATGTGACAACCCTTACTAATTGACTATCGGGTGGTGGCGGGTTTAACGATACATTTATATTTACGCGATCGAACTAAAAAAAAACCCTCTACTATGGATAATATTAGTCACAACAAACCTATGTGTTAATCTAATCACTGTTAATAGCGATGTGACGGATCTGCACGCTTACATGACCCCTGCACCTGCATCCAAAAGGGCTTGAAATACTTTACCATTATCAGCAACCTTACAAACCGCGAATTACATGTAAATTAACATTCTGGGCAGCGGACCTACTTTGGAGGTGGACAGCGCACACGTGGCATGAATGCAGTACCTCGTATGTGCTAGTGATGCCCAGCTCGTAGAAGACAGGCAGGAAGACCTCGGCACTCACGACTACCATGAGCACGTAGGTGAGCCCCATGTAGCCGAAGCTGATGCCGTAGCGATAGATTTCAACTGGGGTGCCGAGCACGGCAATGGCAGACATGAAGCTCGCTGTGAGGGACACGGACACGGGCACAGGGGAGAGCTGGCGGCCGCCCATGAGAAAGTCAGCATTGGAACGCTCCTGAGTGGCATAGTAAACCCCAATGGCTGCAGATACCAGCAGCATGAGGGCAAACAGCACATAGTCCCATACTCCAAATGTGCCCACAATCTTCCCAGACACAGCGTCCATTGCACAATTGGCGAGTAGCTCATTTACAATGGCCAAACCTTTTGGAGTTTTTTCCTTAAATAGGAGCGTTTTCAAGCACATTAACATTCCTAGTTCTGTGTGTATTTCAGTCAAGTGCATATCTGAATGAGATCAGCAAAAATACACAAAGGTTCCTCTCTTGTTCAGATTAAATGTTGGGTACAGAACTGTGACAACCCTCTTTAAGATATTGTTTGGTTTCAACTCAAATGTCAAGAAGTATGTTGTGAAAACCCTTGCTGACTTTGCAAAGTACACCATGTACCAAAATATCCAACTCAGAACAAATTCTTTCACAAATTTGTAATATACAGGAAACCAATTTTATGATATAAAAATAACTTTCAGGCACATAACAATGCTATACAATTACAAGGAAAACATGCTGAACCAAGAGCTGTATTCATTCTATGGGAATGTTAATGTATTTACCATTGCATTGCTTGGATTGTGCAGCCCATCGTTAACATTATACCCAGCTGCCAAACAACAATGGCAAGCAGAGCATAGCCTTTCCACAGTGCAGAAGCATTGGAGACTGGAGGATTTTTTATGAAATGGACCAATAACACATAGTCAAGAGAAAAAAAGATGACTGCTGCTATTTTTACATATCAAAACACAGCACTCCTTTACAAAAGAGTGAAGAGCAATGTTTTCTGCATGCGTTAAACCAAGGACACAACGCCATCACCTACGCGCTAAATATTTACTTATCACAGTAGGTGATAAAACAACATGTAGAGATATGTATTTAAATCATGAACAAAGAATACACCTCATAAGACAATACCTCATAACAAACTCTTTGGTTTTTTTTAAGAATGCTAAGAAACCCATTAGCAACATTAGCAAAAATGAACGCTCTGAACTCGCGAATTTAAAAATGAGAGATGGCATTGCCTTTGTCGGCTGACAAAGGCAATGCCACTGTAATTATGGATAAAAACTCGTACAACAACAAAATCCAGGACCTACTCAATGATGGAAGTTACTCAAAAAAAAAAATTACCCTACTAACAGCCTAACGATGAAAACCAACAAGATCATCACAAGTTCAACTTCCCTAATGGAACCAACCAAACGTCCCTCCCTCAAACCCTCCACTGCAAGACCTCCCAGATTCTACGGTCTTCCCAAGATCCATAAAGAAGGTACCCCACTACAACCCATCGTGTCCACTATCAACTCACCGACATACAAGCTGGCCCGTGTTCTGTCAGATACTCTGCTTCCCTTCACTGGCAAGACCAGCTCAGCAGTACTTAACTCAACCCAATTGGTTTCTATGGTTAAGGACATTGTACTGTCTCCTGATGATATCCTCGTCAGCTTTGATGTGGTCTCTCTGTTCACCAAGGTTACAGTACCTGATACCATCACTATTATCGAAGATTTGGTCCAACATGGACTTGACCCCGATGTACCGGCGTTCGTTAAGCACTGCCTCACCAACACCTACTTTACTTGGAATGGCACCTTCTACAAACAAAATGTAGGTACCCCCATGGGTTCCCCCTTATCACCAGTGATAGCCAATGTTTTCATGGAGAAATTTAAATCAGACTCCATCCAGACATCCACCCTCAGCCCTTCCCTGTGGAAGAGATATGTGGATGACACGTTCGTCATTTGGCCACATGGCCACCCAGCTTTGATCCTTTTCCTAGACCACATCAATTCAAGACACCCTTCCATCAAATTCACCATGGAAGTGGATAAAGATGGAAAGCTACCATTCTTGGATGTCCTGTTTAAGAGAAGGCCTGATGGCTCTTTGAGACATTCTGTTACAGGAAGCCCACCCACACAGACTCCTACTTGAAACCTGATTCCCACCACCACCCGTCTCAGAATAATTATCTCATCAAAACGTTAATCCATAGGGCTCATTGCATTTCTGACAAACACCACCTGACCAGTGAAATAAAACATGTACATTTGGCCCTCAAGATGAACGGTTACTCTGACCGTACCACCCGCCAAGCTGTTTCTCCCACCATACAAAAACAACCACTTGACACTCTGATTCAAATTATCACGTTACCATACATAGCAGGCGTTACTAAAAAGACTTCCAAAATTCTAAACAAACACAGGATCCAGGTCCGGTTCAACACAGTGCACAAAATCCGTGATCTGATCCCATCAGTAAAGGATGTTATTCCTGACTTACAGTACCCCGGTGTTTACAAATTGAGTTGACTGCTATATCGGGGAGACGAAGCGACATATCTCTGACCGAATTCGCGAGCACAAATCAGATTTGACACACGGCAGAACGAATTCTTCTGCCGTGGCTGATCATTGTTACAACGCTGTGGGTGATCATGATATTGTTTTCTCCGATACCAAGGTGCTCTGCAAACCTATCGGATATTATCAGAGATTTGTCCAGGAGGCCATCCAGATTTACAAACACAGACACAACTTCAACCGAGAGGATGGTTTCAAATTGAGCAATCACTGGAAAGATGTTATAAATCAAGTCAAACGTTAGCTGCCTCTCAATTTTTTGTACAGCCATTTCCTTTTCTCAGTGGTTGTATTTCAAACTTTAGCTACCTTATAATTGAACAGCCGTTTGCACCCGATTTCAAAATCCCCCCCCCGACCCCCCCACGCAGCTTCAGCCGTTTGCACCCGTTTCCAAAATCTCCCTGACCCCACACTCAGCATAACAAAAGGTCTTTTTTTAACCCACTCCCGTGCAGTCCGAAGTGATGGTTACCTGAAGCAGCCTATCAAAAGGCTGCTTAACCCAGCCCTCCCACCCACGCCCCCTTACTGACTCCTCCTCCCTCCCTTAACCTGTATATAATCCCTTTTGTCTCTGAACTGTGCTCCTGACACAGATATTCTGCCTTGTATTTTTCCACCTGAAGACGGAAGCTTGTGTTGCCTCCGAAACGTCGTGATTTAATTATTTTCTTTTATTTTGTTTTATTTTATCTACGTGACTTTACCGAATAAAACCAGAGTATGAATCCTTGCAGTCATGAAAGCTTCAAATCGAGAACCTCATAACAAAAATATATGAACATATCATAACATCCATATTTAATTAGCCTTTTCTCTGGTTATATAGAACTACATTTGTGAGAGACAAGACACAGACACGGAGACACACAGACAGACACATAAGCAGAGAGAGACAACACAGAGACACACAGAGAGAGACACACAACATAGACACACACAATTTACCAGGCTCTTATAGGTCCATTCGCTATTTCTCTTCCCTGGCCGCTTCAGAGTGGATTTCCACACAACTCTCTCTAAAATTTACCAAGCTTGTTGGGTCTTTCTCTCCCCCGGCCGCCGCGGTGTGTATTTCCACAAAGCTCTCTCATTGACATGCTAATTTCTCTGCTCCAGCAGTTGCTCCAGCAGACCCACCTCTCTCTCTCTCTGCCCCCCCGCCATCTCTCTATTTAAGGCCTCAACACAGAGGCATTGGGTCATTGTGTGTCTATGCTGTGTGTGTGTCTCTCTCTCTCTCTGTGTCTCTGTGTTGTCTCTCTCAGCTTGTGTGTCTGTCTGTGTGTCTCCGTGGCTGTGTTTTGTCTCTCTCTCAAATTTAGTTATACCTGATGACGATTGCTTGTTTTGCAATCGAAACGTCGTAATCTATTATTTAATTATTATTATTATTATTTCTACCTGACTTCACCGAAAGAACCAAAGAGCATACAAAAGAAAATGAATTGTAACACAGCTAAAATTCAAACACTGTACTCTACAACCCAAAACAAACACGTTATGTGTTTATCAGGCTACCTGCCAGTATTGCTCCGAAAGAGATTTTGTAATCTCAGCCCGAAGACGCTTCCAAAAGAGATGCTGGGCATATGGATTTGGTGGCCACTGCATAATAGAATCTGGACAAATGCACTTTAAAATCAGTTTCAATGTTTTCCATATTCCCATGTCAAGGCTGTTTCCTGGAAAATTTAGCGTTTTCAGTGTATTACTGTGCAGGGGAGAGTCTATCGAAAGACGTTTGATACCATTCTCTGGCAGGCGAAGCTCTGTTCGTGCAGACATACCAGAAATACAATTGATTGTATAGAAGTACTAAATTTCAAATACATTAAATTTCGATTTAAAGCTTTCGTGATTGCAGGGATTCATCTTCTTGGTTCTTTCGGTAAAGTCACGTAGAATGGAAAGAACCAAAAAGTTCAAATACATTTCCAATTGAAATTATTAGCATGACTGTGAAAAGTGTGCAAGGTAATATGTCTACTCACAGGTTGCACGATGTAAAAAACCGTTCCAAACAAACGTATGATTTTATTGAAACGCAGCTCCTAGTACTGCAAGAGATACAATGTCATGCATGTTTCAGTAAACAGCACCAGTTAATTCCAGTTCAAGTATGGACTATAAAGAGTGTATTGGAAAGTGCATATTTCTCCTTTTTTATAGCCTGGCTCAAAATTCATCTACGTGCGGAGTTTGCAGTTGCAGACCATTGCACTGGCAATAAATGCTGTGCCAAATTGACTTTGTATTATTATTGAGCAGGCCAAAGTGTTTTCCCGGCTTGTCGAACAAAGAGAGTGCAAGGCAAAACAAAAAATCCAACTAAGTATGACTTAGAGACGGGATAATGTGGGATTCTACAGAGCATTAAAATGCCACGACACAATCTCTGCTCATGGCCAAACTTAACAAATCAGCATTTATTCTAAAAGATCTACAATTGTGTGCGGTCTGTATGCTTTGGAGGTCTTTTATTAAGGGAACCGTCATCTAAAGGAGTTTGAACATTTGGTGTGGATTTGTTTTAAGAAATTGCAGTATTGGTTTACAATAATTAATGAATTTTGCATTTTATTTTTTAGGTTTGCCAACGTATATGCCTCAATTATTCATCAACCCATATTTGCCAGCATGCTAAAGAATGGTTAAATAATGAGGGCCTTCCCACTGCCTGCACCATGTAGAAACGCCCACGTCTAGCGGTGGATCGACAAATGGGCTGCACATGTACACTTGTACAATCCACGTTGTTAAACTGCATGCCTATACATTAACTATGAGCAGGCAACATCAGCTTTTTCGATTTTTTTCATAATAAGCATGCGTGATGTATATACATTGTATGTTTATTAACTATAAATAACCCAAATAATAATAAATACGCATTGTAATTTATATTACTACATTAACTCCCCCTGGTCTTTGCACCTGATTGGCTCACAGTGAATATATCACATTCACCTCCTCTATTTAAGACCGAAACAGGAGGATTTTTCGCAATTATGTTCGTCGCCTGATTAGGCTGGTTGTAATTACCGGTGAAACGTCAGACTCGAATTGTAAGTGTTGTAGGTTTATTCTCCAACACACCGGTGTGCTGAACTAGTAACAAATTTTGATTTAAAGCTTTCGTAACTGCAGGGATTCAAATTCTTGGTTCTTTCAGTAAAGTCACGTAGAAGGGAAACAATAAAATAATAAAAATATCAAACGATAAAATTCTCACGACTTTTCGACTGCAACACAAGCAATCATCATCAGGTGCGAAAAACCATAGCAATAAAATTTGAAAAAGTGGCGTGTTTTTTTAAACGTTAGCACCACGG